AACAAAAGTGTACTGAAATGTTACTGCTTACTAACCGACCAATGTTTTTGGCTAACTGTAACAGAAAAAAAGTAAACAACAAGCAAAAATAACTTTATTTTTTCAAATTATTATTGATAATTTAGTCAGTTGAATGTATAATATATTCAAAAACAAAAAAAAAAATAATCTTTGTCTTTTTTCAAATTAATTTTCTGGCAATTTAATCATTGCTTAATTACATTTCAATTTAGGCGTTTACGGTTACAGAACAAAATTCTGTTGAAGAGAGAGATCATCGATCATATTCACTGATCTGTAAATTGGTTGCAGAATTTATCGGCGATCTCATTTTTGTATTTGTCGGTATAAATTTTACACCTATTTAACAACTTTAAATAAAAAGAACAGATGCGAGAACATTTATTTTTAGTTAGTAAAAAAAATTTTCGCTACTCATAGAAATTTCCAGCAACACTGTTTAGTACAGTCATTTATTTTTAGGTTCGTCACAAGCATTAGCAAATGGTGATGTTATAAATGCGGCATTTGCACACGGCATAACAATCTTTGTCTTGGTTGCTGGATTAGGACATATTAGGTTTTCTTTCATTCTTTTATCATCTGTTGCTATTTGATACTATTATTTTCCGTCTGAAGATTAAGACTGAACAAATTAACTAAGCTATATTTGTCAGCTGATCAGTGTACTGTTAGCAGTTAAAGAAGTTTAATCTGCATTTACGGTATCAGACCAACAATACTTTTTTAGTGGTGGACACTTTAATCCTGCGGTAACTACTGCTGTAGCATTATGTGGAAAATTGAAACCGTTATATGCAGTGCTATATGTCATTGCACAATTACTTGGAGGCTTCTTTGGTGCACTAATTGTTCGGGTAGGTTATAACTTTTGCCGCTGTTTTCACTTCAGTACGTCTGAAAAAGTGACAAGAAAATCAAAGCAGAAAAATTATAAAATTTCGCTTTTATTTGACAATCTCTTGTACTTTTGCAGGCAATGACAACTCGGCTACAGTTTCATGAAATACTTGGTGGTGCCACAGTTGTTAGCGAAAACTATGATTGGTATCAGGTTGGTGTAAACATCGGTAAAAGTTTCTGAAGCAACAAACAATTTACAGTTTAACTTACCAAAAAAAAAAAAAATTTATTATTCTGTGTGCAAATATGTTTCATTGAATTTTTGAATTATTTTTTTTTTCTATTATAGGGTTTCATTGCTGAAATAATGACAACATATTTCTTAACACAAACAGTTATGCTAACTGCTGTAGATACATCAACAAATGTACTTGCATCATTAGCCATTGGATTTACATTAACGCTGGACATCCTTGCTGTGTAAGTTGAAGAAAAAGTTCAGATCTATTAAACACTTTTGTAAACTGAATTATAAAATATATGACAAGTAATGTGCTGTTGGAAGCAGTTAGTAAGGCATATCACATGCGTGGTCAGCAGAACAATAGGAATAACAGCACACCAAATTAGAGTTGCACAAAAAACACTTTTTTATTGTTTTTTAAATAAATTGGTTAGAAATGCCAGTAGTTATATTACGAGAAATCAAAAAAGCAAAGATAAATTTACTACTCAAAAATTTTTTTTAATTGTATGTCGTTTTAATAACTAATTTATCAGTAAATGTCTGCTACTGCAGTTCAACACTAATCAAAAAAATAATTTTTCACTTAATCGACGAATTATCAAACGCTAAATTTTTTCGACAGTATGAAAATAATCTACTAAATTGTATTACGTATATTATTTACTATTTGAGAGTAAGAAGTAGAAGAAAAAGTTGATTGTCCGATGCAAAAAAGGTCTTGAATCAATGTCGGTTATAAGACACTGTTTTTAGAATCAACTATTAAAGGCCATTAACAGTCATCGTTAATCATTTCTCGCACTAAGATCTTCAAAAGACTGACTATTTGTAGCAACAGTTTTTGACAACATTTGATAGCTGTCATTCACTTTAAAAACAAAGATGTTAACAGAAAACTTTTTTTGTTTATTTTTTACAAGCAGTATTGAGAGTTCATGTAAGAAAGATGAACTTGTTCATCAGTATCATCGACTCTAAAAAGTCAGGCTGATTTCTTAATTGAAGTTTAAGTGGCAATTACATATTTAGTGGTCCAATTTCTGGTGCAAGTATGAATCCGGCAAGAAGTTTTGGTCCGGCGGTGGTCTCTTCCATCTTTGGCATCGGAAGGCCAAATGATTATGTTTGGAAGCACCACTACATTTACTGGGCTGGACCGCTAATTGGTGCACTTATCACGACTGTTCTTTTCAGGTAAACTGTTTTCTTAATTTTATAAACGCTGTTACTTCTTTCTTATTTTAAAATTTATGCAACTATTTTGTTTTGCAAAACTTACTTAAATTAAGTTTTTTGCAGAACAGTATTTCGCCGAAGCAGCAAACGACTTATTCGATAAGAGTTGCAACGGTTGCCTAAAAAAGACAACCTTGAACTGGCAGCTTTTCAGTTGACGTCATTCAGAAATAATTCGGTTTGACGTGACAAAAACACTCAACTTTTCACTTAAACTGATTAAATGCTCTAAACTAAAATGCGATTAATCAAAACAAAAAGCCTTATATTTTTTTTGCCAAAAAAAATATGAAAATAGTTTTTCTTTATTTATTGTCTGCTTTTTTTAAAATATACTTATTACCACTTAACTGTTTTACGAACGAATATATATTATAAATAATAGCAAAAAATCTTTTTGTTTTGCATTCGACTGTGATTTGTTTAAAAACAAAAAAAAAAGTGCTTTGAAAGTGGTTGCTTGTGCTAATAAATAATACATTTATTATGACTTGTTCAATTTATGCAAAATATAGAATAATTAAAAATCATCCAAAATAAAAGTTGGTGATGCCAACGCTAATAAAAACACTGACCGGAAGGGTTCAGTGCATGGTTAAAGGCTTCCGCCGATACAGCAGAAATTAAAATTGTTCTAATTGCACCTGTCTTGAAGACCTAAAAACTTGGCTTTTCTTTTTTGTCTAAAAATCTGGCAATCTGGCACTTACACTTTTTACCTTGTTTTTTATACCTTTTTTGCAAAACTAAGTTCAGCAGATTATTCTATCTGTAAATTAAGCCACTGTAAGCCAGGCACTTCCTCTTATATATTTGAAACTGTAGCTGGTCATGTATAACTGCTACAAAAGTAGTAGTTGTTCAATATGAAGTTTTAGCAGTGTAGATGACTTCAGTGATGAACACAGTAGAAGAATGCGGCAAGGTTAGTTTTAAATATACCGGTTGAATGAACAGTTACTTTTTTTTTATAACTTACAACCGGTTAGAGCATATAAATGATGTTAAAGTGCCAACTGAAGCAAGTCTGTCATAAAAGAAGCAAGAAAGTTAGTGAATATAATAAGGTAGAGTCAAAGTTAAAACGTGTTGAAGGCATTCATTACTTTAGTGTTGTATTAGTACGTCACTGAAATTTGTGACGTAAGTTTGAGTCTTACCTAAGACATAAACTTTGGTCGCAACTCACAAAATAAAAAGAGTTACTCCGCAACAATTTTCTGCAATTTACACGCTGTTGACTGTTGAAAATAGCAACGTGATACAAGTTCGCCAACAAAATGTGCTCTGTTAGCATCAGAAAATTTAGAAATGAGGTTCATTACATTTGGAATACAGCAAGTTTTCAGCATTTTTGCTTTACAGATGATAACTCAGTGCATATCAGTGTATTCTTTCAAAAGTAAGCCTTTTTTTACAGAAATTTTTCAAATGGGAATTACTACACGAAACAAATCTTACTGCTAAAATAAGCATCTTTTGGAGTTTATAACCAACCCGACCATGGTTTTTTGTTGTTTTACAGCCTGAAATTTTATAAGGTTTCAGTTAAATAAATTTATACTGCGGTATTTGAGCTTGTTTTATTGAGCAAAATATCTTCTCTGCAGACTTGATAACCTTTGCAATATAGTGGTATAAATCGCAAAAATTTTCCAGACTGTTCTCTTTCCATAAACAACAGCATTATTTAAATAAGCTATCAGTTTATTTTTTACTGCTGTTTCTAATACAATAGCTCTGAATAGAGAAAATTTGCTTTTTTCTTTTTGACGGCGATAAGATGGGAGAAGATTTGTAACAATTTACGATATCCTTTTCCTGTATTTTTTATGTGCTAAAGTTTTTCAAACTAGACATTATTTACGATAAACGTTATCTGAAAAATTGCTCAAAAATTACGCAAAGTACGATCATCTCTTAATTTTAAGCTGTTCAACGTAGCTCCTAATTTCTTTACAAAACGGCAATTTTATGTGACTAAAATATTCTTTTGCGCAGATAGTTTCATGGTTTATTTAATATTTCAAGCTGTCATCTGAAATTTATAAACGATACAATGTGTGACTTTCAGATATTTATCTCAAAAATCATGAGTGAATTTTTGCACCAAAATATAACTAAGAATTTATTTTTTCTGATTCTTATCGGCAGCTTAATTTATCAAATGTTTTCTTAGCAACAAACAACAAAGCTGTTTTTAGTGTTTGAAAAGATTTCAAAATGCTCAGAGTCATTTTAGAGCATCTAAATTATAAACCTATAAGGTTTACAAATAAAATGTGCTGCCTTTTTGTACGCATGCATACTTTTCTTGTAATAAGTTTTATAAAGCTTCTTAATCGGATTTTAGGTGTATGTTTCACTAAATTTTTTAGTAGAATTTTGCATTGTTGTAATTGGTTTGAGTAATGTAATACAAGTTTTTTACAGAGATAGACTTTGACCGTTACAAAGTTTACAAAAACAGAACAATCTATAAAATTATCACCTGGAGTTTCTGTTATAAATTGGTGTTCTGACTAAAATTATTATTTAAAATTATTTTAAATCTTTTATTTGTTTTGTGTTATTCTGAATACACAAATATTCTGCACGTAGAATTGCTATGGCATAATCAATGTTAATCTTGAATTAGTTTCTATAAAAGTTTTCTTGTACACACTTTATCACTGTAAAGTTCAATATTCACTATAATTTCTATGTTCAATTTATATTTGTCAAAGAAGCATCTTTGCTTATAAAACATTATTTGCAAAGTGTTTTGTAAACTAATGTATATAATATTCTGCTGACCTTTCTTACTTGTCAACTTTGTCTAAGCGTTTATTATATTAACAGATCTGAATACTTTAACTGTTATTTGTTTAGTTTTTGTCGCTTTCGTTCTTGGTATCTGTTGTTTTGAGAGGTTGAACAATTACTTTTTATCAAACATTACAACAAATAATTACTGATTAGAAAAGTTTATAAACATTGTAAGATTAACAGAGTTTATTGAATTTATCTGCTAATTAAACATTTTTTACTTTTACTAATGTTAATTTCTACAGGTTATTCATAAAAATTCAACAAAAAACACTAGACATTGTATCAAAACAACTGCATCTAGCGATCGGCTACTATTACTGTATTACTACACATATTCTTTCTTTGCTAAAAATTACTTTTTCAAATTGACATAATAATAATATGGATAGTAATAGGAGGGATAATAGGTGTAGTAGAGCATTGGTTGTGTTACAAGCGCTGTATTTGTATTGATGTCGCTACGGAGGGTTGTTGCCGGCGATACTTTTGCTGTTTTTGTCAATGAAACTGCTTAAAGTGAAAACAAACAACAGATAATAATAATAATAATAATAATAATAATAATAATAATGTTTTTAAAAATATAAAAAAAGAATTCTTTAGTTTAAGCATAAGCAACAGTTAGTAATATATGGTTTAGTTAGAAGGAAGTATCCATTTAACATTTTAAAAGAAAACCTATTTTTTTATAATCAAATTTTTTTTTAAATAAAATTTAACTCAGTATTTATGCTGTTAATTACTGTAATAAATTAAAAAAATTAGTTTAAACAATTTGTCGCTTCAAACTTTCCACTGCTTATTCTTGAAAAAAAAAAAAAAAAAAAA